GAATTTACAAACCACTTTTCAGAGCCGGGCCTATGAACTTCACTTTATCAGCCTCCTAGGTACAGAAACATTTCTGCAACTTGGTCTAACCCCCTAGAAAATGGCCAAGCTTGGTAACAACACTTAACAAACAGAGTTTTTGTAATATTTGGTCATGCTTTGGACAGTGCATGCTTAACTTGCACCATTGCTACATAGGTCAAGCTCAGGTCAAGTCATGACATTGTCTGCTACCCATGGCTCATGCTGCTCAGGCCTATAATGCACATAAGGCCTACAGATTGAAGACTATTTTATAATAGTTTCTCAATTACATTAAAAGCTTTGTTATCTGGCACCCATGGGGAATGGGGGGGGTGTTGGATAACCAAATATACTGGTTACCTGAGAGGCCTGAACAGGAATCTTTGCCTGTTTGTGTCGTTGCCCCTCCTGCCACATCAGGGTGCTGGGGGACAGGGAGGGGGGCCTGTGCAGGCTGCTATGCCACGGGCTGTTGGGGCTCAGCAGCGCAGGTTGCTTCTGCCCTGGGGCTGCGGGGGCTTGGTGAAACTGGAAGTGCCATGGTGGGCACTTCCGGTTTCACTTTTACCTTACAATCCGGCATGCTGGTTAATAGAGTGGTTTGTAAGGTGCCAGATAACATGGTTTTTACTGTAATTTGTTAAACAAAGGGGAGAGCTTAGACCTAGGATAGTTACTTGTCTGATCCCTGTCATCAAGAGCTGTTACATTTAACAGTCCATTGACTTCTCCCATTTATTCCTTTTCTTCTCCTTGTCTTTTGCTATCTGTTCACCATCAATTTAGAATCCTAAATCCTTTTTTCCTCCCAAATTATCAGTTTCTTAGATGTAATTGTAAGCATGCAGGAAACCAGAGCTCTATATCTCTTTGTTTAGGTGTTTCACTTTTTCTCTCCATTTCTCTTGTATCAGGTTGATATATATATTTGTTTCTGTAGACTTCTCCTGTAGATTTCCCAACTGTTTTCTTATGTACTCATCTTTTTACAACTGTCTCCTATAGTTTCCTCTCTACACTTATATCCCTGGTATACCCCTATTGGGCTCAGTGAACTTGCAGCAAGGATGACTAAAGTCCGTTGTGTTATTTCCTTGTATTTCCAGTTTCCTAAATAATCTTTGTAAGCAAACTGATTTTTTCTGTCTGAAGACGTATGTGTGAGAGCAAGCTCCCTTTGAGTTTGGTGCTGATTTGCCAGCATATTTAGTAGAGAGGAGACTGGACTAAAAAATCCCAGGTCCAGAACTTTTTCAATTAAATAAAGTGTGAACCTGCATACAGTATTAATCTGAACTTCCTGTCACACATCTCTAATATTTAACTGGCACCACACTAGGAAATCTTACTCGGACTTTCATAGAGTATTGATTAAATTAAATAAAAAAGTAATTTTTGGTGCCTTTGGAAGTGATCACAGTTTTAGGTAGGACAACCTCCTTTTTTTTTACTTTGAGTTCTGAATTGTCTCTAGCAAGGAAATAAGAAATACATGTTCACATCAGCAGTAAATTCTTTTTATAGTAACTTTTTAATATTTTCATGCACCACCGATTGCAGTGCATTTAAAAAGCATCCATTCTCTGTAAATTATATCTTGTGAGTAGAGGATACAAAACAAAACAATCTCAAAGAAATACTCAGATTCAGGTCATAGCTTTGATTCAAAATCTCCACAAATATAAAAAAAGAACATGTTTACTGAAATCAGTGGTAGTGCTTTCTAATTCTCCACTAAATTCATTTATATAAGAAACAAAACTGAGGATGTAAGCCAGTGCTTTAATACTATACCAGGAGCTTTTTTCTACTGCTTATGTCTGCTTCTGCAGAGGATTCCTGTCAGTCTTGAATTTCTTTGATGTATTGTGACAAATGATCCTTTGCTGTGTTTTCTGCCCCTGCTGGAGTCTCCATGGGATTAGAGATCACATGCTTTCACAGCTTAATGTACTTGACCTTTTCATATGATTGACACATGTAAATGATTACAGCAAAGCAACAATTATCCACTAGCCATGCCATGTTTATTTTCAAGGGAAAAGATAATCATATTTAAGGTGAACACTCAGAGAGGGTGAAAAATATATCACTGTGAAGTGAATGTAGGAGACCAGTATGTAATAAATCATGACTGTTTCCTGTCCCATCTTTGCCCCATTTTGTGGCACACTGTCATATTATCCCTGCTTTCAAATGCTTTATTGTGCTATTTTTCTGTTTTACCACGTAAGTGAGATGCTTGAATCTCTGGGGCTTGATCAGCAATCTGATTCCACAGGTTCAAGAGTCAAGGGTGATCCAGTGGCAAGGTAGACATCTAATTTTTTTAATGAAAACAGTTTAAGTTACTATAGCAGGGAACATCTCCAGGGGTGGCCATGTAGCCCCTGAAGACCCCCCCAAATCCTTTTTACCCTGCTTACTTCCTGGGGACAGTCACTCCCTTCGCTCGCCTGCCATGCCTTGATGTATTGTATGTCTACAAACAGGAGGCTGCCCCAGGGTAGAGTTGCCATATTTCCAGTTCCAAAAAAGAGGACACTTGTCAGGGGGACACCTCAATCCCAACCCACAGCTCCCTGGCCCTACCAGTGCCCCTCACTCCCAATCCACAGCCCCCCTATCCCTGCTTTTGCCCCTCACTCCCAACTTGCAGACCCCTGGCCCTGCCAGTGTCCCTCATTCCTGACCCACAGTCTCTGCCTCCCAATCTATGCTGGTGCTCCTCACTCCCAACACACAGGCAGCCCCCCCATCCCTGCTGACCCACAGACCCCTGCCCTGCCAGTGCCACTCACTCCCAACCCACAGTCCCCCATCCCACCCTGGGCCAGGCGGGTGCTGCTCACTCCTAACCCACAGCTGGAGCGACCTTGCTGACTCCACGGCATACTGCTGGCTCAACTCAGGCCCTGGGATTATACCTGTTCAAACCCAGCCCTTTTCTGGTCATGTGGTCCCTGATTGCTTACTGCCACACCTTCAACCTGTCTCAGCTGCAGCCTGTCTGCATAATGACCCTCTCTCAGCAGCCTCCAAGATCTTGCTGTCCACTTTCTTAATGGTCTGGGCTTATCTCCTGGCCAAGTCCAGTCCTTCTTGGCCTCCAAGATCTTACTGCCTGTTTTGTCAGTTTATCTCCTGGCTAAGCCAAGCCCTTTCCCTATGAGGTGAAGCTCTTCTTATCCTCCTTCACGACTTGCAGATTACTGGTCCTGTTAAAGGGGCAGGCTCACTAAGAGCCCTGCCACAGCTAGCCACTATTTATTTGTATATAAGGCACATTAATATTAATGTTCTGACTGTGTAGGAATTTTGCTGGCCAGGTTTCAGAACTTACCCTGACCTTTTTTGTACAGTATTTCCACAGGCTTCAGTGAGTTCTGCACATGGATGATGTCAGTATTTGGCTCATATATGGCTTCAGTATGCATAAAGTTCCTGCACAAATAAATCAAATAGTAATTTCCCAGAATTGACAATGCAAGGAGAACCCAGGTTCACTTTGTATTGCCACTCTGAAATACATAGTTGGGACACCTTGTCAAATATCTGTCTGTGTCTCTATATAATTTGAGTGACCTGTCTCTACAGCATCAGTGGTCCAGTTTTGGGTTCTCTCAGAATTGGGAATTGTGTACCAGTGACATTTTAGTATTGCAAGGGAGCATTATATATTACAAGGTCTCTTTTAAAAATGTAACTCTTTTTTGCAGGTCACCGAACATTGTTCATTGGAGTTCACGTACCACTGGGTGGAAGAAAAAGTCACCGACGTCATCGGCACCGTGGTCACAAACACAGAAAGAGAGACAGAGAACGAGATTCAGGATTGGAGGATGGGAGAGAGTCTCCTTCTTTTGGTAAGGTTTCTTTTTCTTTTTGCGTGGAACTTTTAATGATAAATTAAGTTTGACATGGTGCACCTTATCCTCCTGACATATTTCAGAAAGCATTGACAATGGTACATTTGAGTCCAAAGCTTTTCAAATATTAATTAAAATTTTAAACATTAAATATTTTGTCCTGTTGTGATCAGTGGAGGGTTCAAACATAAGGAAATGAATGTGTGGGAATATTTATCACTGGGGCTTCAGTATACCATCATAAGGGGTTTATGTGGTGATAATGGTCATAAGTTATGTATAGCAGCACTAGGCATTCAATAAAAGCTCTTTCTGCTTCTATACAATGTAAAGAAAAGAAGTAATGTCTAAAATGTTTTTCCTGTTACTGTAATTCTAATATTGAAACAGACAGCCAGGTCCTGAATAAGTGTAGTCACACTGATGGCAAAGGAGCCACACCGATTGATAACAATGTAGGATTTGATACAGAATCTGAACCTTGCTTCCATCATCACATTAGATCATAGGGTAGAATTGTGAGACCAGTCACTTAACTCAGGCCATGAAGGCAAGGAGACAGACCTTTCCAGCTGAAATTTCTCCCATCTTCTTCCAGAAACACTACAAGTGGGCTTACCAAATCTTAAATAAACTAGTCAAAATTTAGCAAAAAACAGTGAAAACCGTAGGCACAGTTTCAAGCTATGAATTACCTTCCTCCAAAGTGATCTTGTTTCTCTTCTCATGCTGGTCTTATGCAAGTGTAACTCCATTAATTTCTGTCAAGTTTCTTCTGATTTACCTAGGTGTGCAAGTGCGAGAGAGAATGCACATTTCCACTGATTTTACCTGATTATCTGCTTTAGCAGAATCTTTAAGAAGATCTGCTGGGTAAAAGATTCAGGATTATTCCTATAATCTTTTGTATGTAGTGAATGATTGTTTTCCTTCAAATGTAGTGTTTACTTGAACCATTACTAAATGTGGTTTTGAAGTGTATTTCTAGATGGTTTACTTATAAGATTATTATCTGTGGTACAAAAATCAAAGTAATACATATACATTTAAGGTATTTGGGGCATGATAATAAATACAGCAAATATAACAGAAGCATGTGTAGAAAACAATGACAGTCTTGTACAAAAGAATATTTTAGTTCATTGGGGAAATGTAACTGCCAGTGTAATTGTAGGTTAGAGAGTAGTTATTATAAGACCATTTATTTTGGTTTGCATTTTAAATTGCATGTGGAAAGCTTTGCAGTATATTATAAACTGTGAGGCTTAAGTGTATATTAAAGAACTTGAAATATTTCAATGTTTCACAGTCAAATGTGTTAGAGATGAAAAACCAAGAAGGGATTTTTTAAAATTTCATAAGAATTTAAAGGAAAAATAGACTTCCTTGAAGAATTAATATTGAGGAAGAAAACTGGCTAATTTGGGTCTCTAGATTTAATGTTTCATTTACCACAGGGATGTATAAATTACTTGAAAGGCTTGTATGTTTCAAATTTATGGAAAATACAGTTAGCTAACCTAAAAAGTATTAGCTTTTGACTACAGTTAATATTTTAAAGCATAGTAGGAGAAATAAGTTTTACAAATAATATGTTGGAAAAATATAGTGTTCAAACTTGTTTGAAATGCTTAAGAAAGAGCATTAGCTTGAATATCCAGAACTCTGAATAGATAAGGACTAAACTAAGAATTAACACAAGAGGCCATGTTTTCAAAAATGGTCAGGAATGAGCGCAGCTCCCACTTTAGTCTTGTAATTTTGCTCAGGTTACTAAATGAGAGATATCTCTGTTTAAAACCTTGCCTTGAATCTTTAACTTCCTGAAACTGAGGTTTGTGTCTCTTTCCAGTATCACAAGTAATAATGAGTTTGCTAGTTTTATCCTACACCCTTTAAACCTGTGCATATATTAAAATAGTACTATTTGGTACAGTTCAGTACAAATAACAGTAAGTGACTGTTCTCAAAGGGTATGTCTACACGTTCATTAATGTACTGTAATTACGGTGCATTAAGATGGTACCTGTAATTACAGGTAGTAACTTTATGTGCCGTAATCAGCGCTACTGTGCATTAGTGCAGATAAATGCATTTTTGTGACATTAATGTGCATTAGACTAAGTCTACTGCACATTAGCGCAGTTTTTGCCAGCCACACTAATGTGCAGTAGACTTAATCTAATGCTTATTAAGTATCTCATGTAGATGCACCCAAGAACTTCAGGAGGTTTTTTCCTAACTTGGGAAGAAAATTTATCTGAAAATATAGTTTTTGATTCGTGTGCGTGTGTGTGTGTAGGTGTGTGTGTGAGCCAATTATAATTCCCAGCTGAGGTGGGAGACAGTGTGTGTAATGCAAAATAAGAGACAACCAAGAATTATTCTTGCAGGAAGTTTTAAATCCCAAGGAATCCAACCATTTGGTGTAAATTAGGGGTACTTAGCTTCCAGCCTGTGGGCCAGATGCAGCTTGCAGCACCATGTTATTTGGCCTGTGGGGCTTTCCATGGGCCCAAAAATTTGACAAGAGGGAGCAGTGCCATTGTGGGGTCAAATGTTGAGCAACACTGGTATAAATCATTCTCTTCCTGTGACCTCCCTTTCACTTCTGATGTTAATAATTGTCAGCAGTAGAACTGAGGAGACACCAAATATGTGGGGAGCATGAATAATTTTGGGAGTAAAATGAAGGACTTCTTGAAAGAAAGAATTTGCGTTCATGTTTATATTTGCGTGTAAATATGGTCCAAACAAAAAGAGAGGGAGGGACTCCTCAGTGAAGTGAATTCCTCAAAATTTCAGTGCATAGTATTGCACATCATGTGCATGTGTAGTTGAAGCTAGAGGACACCTTTCATTCAGCCCATACCATAACTCATTATGAAGATAGTGTGTTTACTTTTTATACGTTAAAATACTTTTTTTACCTTAACAATAATTTTTATACTTTAAAATAACTGGTAATTTATACCATAAAATAACTGAGTAAAATTCATTTCTGTGCACACTACCAGTAGAAGGCATTCACACCACTGGAGTTTTGCTTAAGCATTACACAGTATGAACTGCTTTGCACAGGCCTATTCACTTAGGATTTGGATTCAGCTGATTTGGGGGACAGTGATTCGATTAGGTGATTCAAGTCACTGTCCCAAATCAAGTCGGCCAAATCTGATTCAGAGATTTGGCTACTGCTGAATCGGCTGAATCTCAGAATCAAACATGCCCCATCCCCCACCCACTCTCCCAGCCCCATCAATGGCTGCCCCACCCAGGCCCAGCATCCAGCATGTTAAAAAAAAAAAAGCCCCACACTCACTGACTCCTGCCAGGTCAGGGAGGTGATCCCTGCTGCTCCCCACTGCCCCGTGCTGTGTTGTGGGGCTCTGCCATGAGCCCCCAGAGGCCCTGACAGCCACTGCAGCAGCTGGTGAATGTAGGGCTTTTTTTTTTTTTTTTTTTAGCTGTGGGACGCTGGGGCTGGGTGGGGCAGCCATTGACAGGGCTGGCAGAGCAGTCGGGGATGCTCAGGGAGCAGGCAGGGGATGGGGCCTCCCCATGGTCCCCTCCCCATTGCCTCCTACTTACCAGCACAGAATCCATGTCCAGCTCCCTGCAGCAGTGAGCAGGGACTGCCCGAATCTCTGAGTCTCCTCCCAATCAATTTGGAGGCTTTGGATCAGTTCAGAACCTTTTATTGGTCTCCCAGTGCAATTCAGATTTTGAGATTCTGCTTCCAAATTGGGCTGAATCTCCTCCAAATTGAATCAGCAACCAAAGCTTTGCACAGCCCTATTACATAGGTATTGTTCTGCTACGCTGCACAGGGATGGATTTCACCTAGGACTGATAGGGCATGAATCTAGGGTGCAGAGAGTCAAAAACACTTGTGACATGCCTTTTAAAATTATGGATGGCACAGCCCCACTGGTTTTCAATATTAGGACATGAAGCAATGAGTATAGTTTATTGAATTTTGAGAAATCTTGCTGCAAATTGAGTTTCCCAAAAGCTAGAGGGTAGGATTCCTGATGTGCTCTTAAATTAGATTTTTTGGACGTCTGGAACAAGTAAAATGGAGGAATGAAATGGCCAAGTTTCTGCTCTGGTGCTTCTTTAGGTAGCTGACAGAACTAGACATATCCTTTCCTCCTCCTAGAATGAGGAAATCCAGTTTAAGCAAGCTACAGATGGCTACCTTGTTCCTGACATGGGTCAAGCATCAAGCATCAGAGGGATTAAATTTTGTAAACTAAATTGTAAGTGCTGGGACACAGATTACTGAATAAAAAGGGGAATTGCTTCCATTGTGATATTCTGGACAGCTGCTGCCTGGGAGCCTCCAGGAAGAATTCTGGATGGATCAGCTGTTCTTTCTCTATCGAAGGTATTGATTAGAAGTACCAATTTTTCCCCCAGTATTTTTTAGAGTTTTATCACCTATTCCTGTAATAGCTGTTCTAGTTTTATACCTTTTACAAATTCTTGTTTCTTCCTAATAAAAATCCAACTTTTCATATGTCTTCCTGTTGAAGAAGAGTAGGGTTTGTTAGTTAGTACTGTGTAATTATGGCAGCAGTAATGAGGCCAGAGTTAAAAAATTTAAAAACAATTGTTGATAGGACAAATGTATCAGCAAACATTAGTGTCTCATTTCCAGTTTGCAGTAAAGAACAATACAAGACAATACATTTTTAGGTAGCTTTTTTCTTACTGAAGTGCCATAGTGCCTCATAAACAATTAAAACTTGCACTATGTACTGTCACTTCCAGTGTAACTATCACATACACAGCGAGAGTGAAAAGAGGAAAATGAAACATAATTCAAATTCATAAGGTTGAAGGTTTGCCTTAATATCCTTGAAATTTTCATTTCACTGGGTTCCTGAGTTTTATTAACTTTTGAACAAAAAGCAATTTATCAAAGAGAGAAATCTGATGTCCAGTACTCTCCCTCACGCGTGCAGAGTTTTCTTTGTGATAAAGGGAAAATG